ATTTTTCTTTGGTAAAGATAAGCTTGGTGCTTTGAAGCAGTACCCACAAGGTTTTTACCTGTATTATTGTTTCCTACATTTTGCTTTACCAAAGAAAAACTCCTAAATTTGAAAAAGAAATTTGACTGTAATCTAAATTGTCATATTTTTTTACTTAGTGCAATTTTTTTAATCTCGGATATTTTTGTCCCACTAGTCCCAATCAAAAGTCGGATATCAGTGTTTTTTTTGGTTAATGATTGTGTTATTACATCAAGACTTAAGACAATGACATACAATTTGGTTGGAGATCGGTGACTGCTATCAATCAAATGCTTTCAATATAATCTGTTGGTAAAAGTTTTTAATTTGCATAAATTTGGCCTTTGTTATTTTGCATAACATTTTGAATGAAAATCATTTATTTCAGTGTAATTTTATCATTATAAGCATGAAATTAAGTGATAAAAGTAAAATAGTCCTATGGGGAACACCATGAACTTTGATGTATTGACCCAGAAGTTTCATGAGTACCCACTGATAATGAGAAAGGCTTGTTTAAAATTTGAGCTATGTAGACCTTTTTTTCTGTAGCCTTTGCAGTGCTGGATGAAGAAAATACAACATTTTTGGTGATTTTTACACTGTTCGATTGCTTACATTTTGCAATCCCTTCATAGAAAAAAAATTTGCACACTATATAAAAAAAATTTCTTTTGAATGAGATGTTCAAAATTATTTATTTTAGGTGTTTGGAGGAGGAGAAATCGACCCCTGAAAATTGGCAACTTTGATTCCTATATATATAGTCAGTAATTTTTTTACTTGATTTAAACTCTCTGAATATGCCATTTCTATGAGTATATTGTATGTGAAAGTATTTGTTTATTAAAAAGATTTGATTTATATATATATTTTTTTTTCTCTTAGGAAATTAATTTCAGGAACAGAATTCTGTATTAAAGATGATGATGATGATGTTGTTCCTGAGGAAAATAATTTGAATTATTTCAATAATGAAGAACTTCTGAAAGCTTTAAATCGAGAATGTTTATATTTTCAAAATGAAAATGATGATGAAAATAATAATGATGATTTTGATGTTAAAACTCCTTTTGAAAAGATGATGAAAACAATGACACCACTTGTAGAAAATCAAATTTTTAAAAAAGTAAGCAATATTTTGATTAATATTTATTTGGTTGTATGCATATATATTTTTTATCAAGCCAAAAAAACTATTAAACTTCAAAGAATTTTATATGGTTAGTTTTCAAATTACTGTTGTTGTTATTAAGGAATCTTTTATTTTTATAAACTATATTTTAAGATTTAATTCAGAAATTGTAAATATTTAAAATGGTTTTGGTTTTGTATTCAATCAAAGAACATTCTATTTATGCTTAACCTTAAAATAAAAATCTTTGCAACTGTCAAATTTAATAGTTACAAAGTGGGAATAGCACTCTTTGAAAAAAGAAATAATACAATGATTCTGCAGAGTCAGGAATTGGCACATTTCTATATCAAGATCAATCATACAAGCCAAAGCTTTACAGTTTGCATCTAAATTAAGTGCTATGGACATCAAAGCTTCAAATGGATGGCTTGAAAAATTTTTAAAGCGACATAATTTGAAATTTAGAGAACCATGCTGTTAGTAAACTCTCTTTAATTTAGTCTTCTAAAGAAGACAGGATCAGCACATGATGCAATGATTTTATTTAATTTTTCCAATAATGATATGCATTTTGAATGTCTTTAGCACTCTTCTCCAGTCATCCATTTTTATAAAATACACATTAAGACTATTTCTACATAATATTATAATCATCTGTTTACATTTAATATTTTTTTACTCACCTTTTTAGACATTTCTCATAAAAAGAAGTTTAATATCTAAACTGAGTAGCAATTTTATTACAATTTAATATCTAAACTGAGTAGCAAATTTATTACAATTTTAAACAAATATAAATGTTTAAAATAGTCATAATGTTTATAATTAAACATCTACTGATTAACCTTAATAAAGCTGCACTTGTCATTTCTAACAATATTTACTACAAATAAAAGTAAACATTTATGTTCTAAAACCATTTCAGGTCTCTAAAGTAGTAAAATTAAAGTAGTAAAATTAATTCCCTAGGCAGATCGCCCAAGTGTTGCCGGGCTGTGAACAGCTCACGTATTTATAAAATCTAAGTGACTCGTACAACATGTAATTCATATAAAATGGAATAATCAACAGTGTTATGGGGGGTCGACTGTAGTTCTGTTATGCACAATCCCTGCTAATTAGAAAGGCTACGAAACAAAGTTTTTTCAAGAATACAGACATTACAAAATTTTAAATTGAATGGAAATTAAACAAAGTCCTAGATGATGATAGAAATTATGACAGAGTGGATGGAATAACTGAACAGGAAAATGCACCAAAACAAGAAAATGCTTTTGTGTCTTGACAATACTGCATCACATCCAGACATAAATCACTCAACCTTTGGGTCAGGGTGTAATTCAAAATTTCAAGTCAAGTATAGATAAATGATTATGAAACATAATCACAAATGTAGATCATAAAGCATTGCTTGAAATGCTGATAAAGCAACTCACTGTCTTTCAAGCAAGGATTTACACGTTTCATTTCTATTAATATAAAATCCAGCAATGAGTTGCTTAACTTACCTGGCAACAACATTTAAAACTGCATATGGTGCCATCTGTTATAATATTTTATTAAAACAACATTTAATATAATTAATAATTATAAAATGGCAAATGGCAATTTTGAGGGTTAGGGGTAGTTTTATAAAAGAAATTGTAAATGCAAATAATGAGTAAAATCCTCATTATGTCTGACCACCTTGAGGTATGACACATGACCCCCTATATCTCCCTATTCCCTTGACCTTTATCAATCTAAATTTAATAGCATCATCCTCCCTAATACACAAACCTCCCTGAAAAATTTCAGAAAATTTCAATAAAAAGCATGGTATTAAGCTTTAATGTTTGGGAAACAAAATTATGCTCTGCATGCATGCACATGCACACACACAAATGCATATAAATGGAAAAATCCCCAAATGTTTTGCATTTCTTGACATTTTAAGGTTCCTTGAGTCCAAAAATGTAAAAATCTTTCAGGTTCACTTTTTGACTGATCATCATACTTTCCTTCTGTTATATATAACAGAGCCAGAAATGAAATGTAATATATACATATATATATTCTATTCCACATGTTGCAAACCTGTGGCATGCAGGCGAAGTCATCTGGCATGTAACACATCATGTGATTTTGGTTTATCGTGTCTTTTATCAATCAGTTTTTAAATAATATTCTAATTAAAGCATGTATGTTTTATTTGTACATTTGTTATTCGAAACCTAAACCTTTGACAAACACAAACATTTTAAAAGATAATTATACTCATTATATGGCATGCAAACTCTAAAAAGTTTGCCATCCCTATTCTATTGTTGTAATAGTAATATTTATAACTTACTGTACTGTACTTACTTGAATCTAACAGGCACTTTAATTACTATATATGCACCCAAAAATTTTTTGAAAAATAGACAACTCTAGACAAGTTTATGTCAATAGAATCAATAGAACTGACTCTGTTGACATAAATTTGTTGAGTATATATTTCACAGTAAAAATAAGTTATACGTTGCCGTCTTCCATAGCATCAAAATCATAAGCTCTTCACTCTTTTAGGCTGTTTTGAATCAGTACTGAATTTGATGCTTGCATCTTTTCATGTGCAGTTATTCTTATATTCAGTATCATGTTGCATTTCTGACGATTTAAATTTCTTAAGAGTGCTGCATAACTTTGGAATTTTCATCCAACTATATATACGATGCTACTGTAATAGACTAATGAGATTAAGCTAAGTTGACCTCAGATATTTAATATTATGAATATTGGTCTAATGAAATTATTAAAGTAATACAATGGAATTAGTGACAGAGAAATAAGACACATGGCACTAGAGGTTACTAATTATGATCTAATACATTGAATCTAAGACATAGGATATTTTCATAGATGCTAAAACTTGAAAAAAGTGCATCTTACATTCATGTAAATGTAGTATTTTAAAATAGTTTTGTATATATTCTTGGTAGTATAGAAAATTCAAAATGCAAATGTTTAGGCCATTTCAATTACTGTTGTATTCAAAAAATATTTTTGTCAAAATTTTAAAATTTTTTTCATAAACTAAAATTATGTTATTATTTAGGAATTAAAGACGGGATTTGGAATAGAATTGCCAAGTAAGGCATTCGTTACCATCCATTATAATGCTTACTTAGAATATAGTGATGAGCCATTTGATTCAACTAGACTTCGAGGCACTCCTTTAAAATTTGTGTAAGTATTTCTTTTACAGATTTATTAGATTACAATAATTTTCATCTGACTTATTTCATTATTATAAGAGATATTCAAATCAAATTGGAACTTTATAGATGGATGCCTCCTTTTGAAAGCTAATCAACATTATGCACTAAAACTTTTTTATTAATCTACATTAATTTTAAGTTACTTTAGATTTTATTTATTATTATAAATGTTTAGTTTGTTCATAATAGATTAAAAAAAGTTAACTTTATTTGAGAATGCAAACAGTTGATTAAAAATGGTTGATAGTATTTACATGTTAAAATTATATTGAAGAAACAAAAAGTATCTTAATAAATGTGTCACTCACAATCTTCAGAACCCCAAAAAATTTTCCATTCAGAGAGAACCTTTTATTAGATGCAATGCCTCAGTAAAATATTGAAACCAGTTAAAAATGTCCACTTTTTTTTAGTTGTGTAACAAGTAATCATATATTGATAAAATATGATTATAGTTCTATGATATTTTTTATTATATTTTATATTCCTTGTAAACATTGTGAAAAATAGTAATGGTGTGATTTAGTAGAACATATCAATATAGAATAACATTAAGTATATGTTACTGATCAGTTTTAATTACTGTCAGTCAGTCTTTACATCAACTCTACTTAACTAATTTGTAGTAAGGTCCAATTATAGAACTGGCAGATATACTGCTGATCTGGATTATGTACTCTCAGTTATTAAACTGGTAGGCAGAAGTGAGAGGAAGTTGTTGGTCATGCTGTTGTCTTTATTTGGGTATACAAAGTATCATATGCTATATTATTTGTTTATTAATTCAAACTAATTTTCACAATTAATGAGAGAAATTTGCATTTCCTAACTATTGCTGTGAAATCAGTTGTACATAATGTCATAATTTGGATGCATTGTTCTAAATAACATTTGAGTTAGGCAGTTCCTGTACTTGTTTTGGATAATTAATATGGGAGAAAGCCAGATGAAAAAACAGGATGGTATGGAAACTTGCAGTTTATTGATGGTCTGGACAATTTTCATGTGGTGGTCTGGATTGGACCATGTCTATAACACTATCTCATAATTCAAAACTTTATGTAAATCCAAAAGTGTATGCTTCATATTTTGCATTATGATTTACGTTATATTATTTTTACATTGCAAAAATAAATAAGCCTACTGTGAATATAAAATTTTAAAGTCACGACACTATGAATTTGAGTCATTTATTAAAATTTAAGTTTTAATCTTTCTCAAAAATATATGAAATTAACATAATAAGACATAAAAATGTAAAAACTAATCCAAAATCAATATTAACTTCTCCATGAATATAAAAAAGCTGGTCTATATATATATAAACTGAAAGATTAAAACTTAAATCCACATTTCAGGAAAATATTCATGATTCATGGAGTAATTGTAAAATCAGGAACTATCTAAAAATATCGTTAAGAAACTTAATGTTAGATGAATCTAATCTTCTTCATTATATATTAGACTAATAGGTGTACTGTACCTGGGTATATATATTGCCCAATCTTAAAGCCACATTGAAAATTGTCATCTTGAATACAACTTAAAAATTTTGATATTAAATAGATTATGTGGCCAGTCTAATTGTAGAAAAATTGAGAAATTTAATAGTAAATTTGTTTTGAAATCTCTTTATTTATTTTGAAAGTATCACACATTAAATGTTCCATAGAATGATTTTACGTGCATGTTATTATGAAGGTATTTTTGTCATTCAGTATTATAGTGATGGCTTTGCTATCTCTGAATCCTGCTTCTTTTTCCCTGTGAATATTTTCTGTTTCTTGAAAGTTCTTAACAAGTTTTGCCACTGTACTGCAGGTGATACATTGTTGTATGGTGTAATAAGGCAATACAACACAAGGGCAATCACCAAGTGAATGCCTTCTGAGAGGACTTTCTATGGGGGAAACACCCCTATTTAGGTGTTAAACATATAAAAAAAACTGTTCTGCCAGCTTGTGGGTTAGGCATGGGACCACTGTCAGTGGTTTTTAACCATCAGCTACCAATGATTTTGAGTGATGGTTGAAGTTTACATCAATGTTTTGTAAGTTTATCTACACAGTATAAAGAATGGTGTTGATTCTTTCCTTTGTCAAAAGCAATGGCATTCATCATTGTAACATTGCAGGTGATTTAAAAAAAAGTGAAAGAGAATGCACATGAAAGCATCCTGTGGAACATCTAACATATGATAACTTCAAAATGAGTAAAGAAACCTCGAAATTTAACCAATGGATTTCTTACACAATTTTTCACAAATTAGACTGGTCACATTATTCTGTTAGAAATTTTTTAAGTTGTACAGTTTACTCAAAAAAATATCTTAGACACATCTTGATTTTAAACTGTTGTATTTTTAACACAGTAAAAGGAAAGAGGAGAAAAAATTATTGTAAACAAATTCATTGCCTGAGTTAAACTGTGACATTTGGGAGCATAAATAGCACAATTTAAAATTTATGCAAGCATTTGAATTTTTAGAAATAAATATCTGGAGAAATGACCCAAAGAATAAAAACTAAAGACATCTCTAGCATTGATGGAAAATACCTCTTGCACTAGTAATTAGTATCTGGTTACATCACTTTTGCTAGTAAGATTGCATTTACATGTTCGCACATTGTATTAATAAAGCCTAATGTTCATCCATATTTCCTGGACTTTTTGGCCTAATCCAGTCACTGTCCTTTGAGATCTTTTCTATAAAATATTTTCATGTTCCCCATAGATTTTCAATAGAAGAAAGGATTGCTAGGTGGCTAACTCAACACATTAATATTGTAATTTGTAAGCCATGCCCTAGTTTTAGCAGAATGATAACGTCCCCATCTTGTTAAAAAATTATATCTGGATTCTGCAGTTTTTCCAAGTATAAAAGAAGGTTGTTTTGAAGGATCATGTGATATTCTTCATTCACTGTTCCATTGATAACGTGCAGAGTACTGACACTCTTCTTGAGCACTCATGCAAACCTATACTATAATGAATGCTGGGAACTTTGTTGTACAGTTAAGGCAGTTATGATGAAAAGATTCATATAGTTTTTGTTTACCAGTGACTATATTCCATTTAGTAACCAATTCTGCACATGATGTTCAGTTAGTTTTCTTTGATTTGTATAAGAATTTGGGATTGGAAGCTGTTATAATTTTCAGTTCTACAGGTATTTCTTTATTAACATGGTTACTTAATCCCTCAATTTTACCATGTATATCAAAATTGTATTAATCAAATATGGTATCTGTTTAAGTAAAGACAGCTGGTAATGTTAATTAAAACTTTATGTTAATTGTTAATGTTAATTAAAACTTCTGCTGCCTAGATAAAGAGACTGCTGCAATTAATTTTGCACGTTAAGCAAAACCACATTAAGCTAAGATATCTGTATAACCAAGGTCAGCAGTAAGTCAATAGGATTTAACCTATATAATTAGAGATCTGACAATGTGTAAGTTCTCTAGTCCTTCCCATCCTAGTCCAGTTGACCATGTTCCTCACCATTTGGTCACTCCATTGTAGGCCAGGCTGAATTCATAATGGGTACAAAAAAGCTCTGTTAATGCCCATAGGAAAATTTCCTAGAATTTTAATGAAAATTNTGTAGTCAAAAATGAATTTGAGTTAAAACTAGTTTTAACTAGACAAAACGGGTTTTAACAAAGACATTCAGTATAAACTAGTTTCAACTAGTTAAAACGCGTTCTAACTAAAAACAGGTTTTGACTGTAACATATATATATAAAAATAAATTCTATCAAATATCAGTGGTGGCTGGTAGCATCTAATGTGAAGGTTCTCTCATGGGAGAATGCACAATGCACAATTTGGAACGCTAAGAGAATTATTTTGATTGGCACTAGTGTTTATAAAAATATTAATTTTAACTTGAAATTAATCAAAATCATAACTATGCAAAATCAAAATGATGCTATTAGTGTTGTATGCCTAGCATCCTCCTGCAACAGTGTCCCCATATTAGATGCAACAAACTGTACTGTTAAGTATATTTATTTTTTCAAAATAATTTTTTGATTTTAAATCTTAAATCATTAATATATCCAAACAAAAACATTCAAGATGTTAAAAAATTATGCCAAGTAAAAAATATGACAATTTAGATTACAGTCAAATTTCTTTTCTTAGACATTTTTCTTTGGTAAAGATAAGCTTGATGTTTTGAAGCAGTACCCACAAGGTTTTTACCTGTATTATTGTTTCCTACATTTTGCTTTAAAGTGCCAAGCTTATCTTTACCAAAGAAAAACTTTTAAGAAAAAGAAATTTGACTGTAATCTAAATTGTCATACTTTTTACTTACTGCAATTTTTTTAATCTTAGATATTTTTGTTTGGATATCAATTTTTTTTTCTTCTTTTCTTTTGTTAATGATTGTGTTATTACATCAAGACTTAAGACAATGGCATACAATTTGGTTGGAGATCGGTGACTGCTATCAATTGAATGCTTTCAATATAATCTGTTGGTAAAAGTTTTTAATTTGCATAAATTTGGCATTTTGTTATTTTGCATAACATTTTGAATGAAAATAATTTATTTCAGTGTAATTTTATCATTATAAGCATGAAATTAAGTTATAAAAGTAAAATAGTCCTATGGGGAACACCATGAACTTTGATGTATTGGCCCAGAAGTTTTATGAGCACCCACTGATAATGAGAAAGGCTTGTTTAAAATTTGACCTTTCTAGACCTTTTTTTCTGTAGCCTCTGCAGTGCTGGATGAAGAAAATACAACATTTTTTGGTGATTTATATATATATATAGTTAGTCAGTGATTTTTTTTTACTTGGTTTTAACTCTCTGAATATGCCATTTCTATGAGTATGTTGTATGTGAAAGTATTTGTTTATTAAAAAGATTTGATATACAAGGTCTGTTCAAAAAGTATCGGACCTTTGGTCGGCAAAAATAAATTTATTGATTTTGAGATACAAAACCCTAA